TATATATATATATATATATATATATATATATATTGAAAAAATGAAGAAGATACTTGCAATAATGTGTTCAAAATATTGACCACAGAAAAAAACAACATCATATGATGCTGGCCACATGGCAATGTGGTAAACCATTTTTGGTTGTTCAGTTAGTGACATAGCTGACAGAATTTTTACAGACATAAGAAAAATATTATAAATTAAATAAGTATTTTCTTAATTTCTTAAATTACATTTAAACTCAGCTTTAAAAAATGAAGTATTTATATTGAAATAATGTTAATTGGGGTATTTTCCCAGTTATCTCAGTGGCAAAAAGTGTCCAGATTTACCTGAATTTACCCCTAAATTTAATATGATTTATTTGTTTGTTTGTTTGTTTATTTAATATTTTGAACTTAACAGCCACTTATTTAAACAAACACTGCAAAACCTGTAAAAAAGGAAGAGGCAACTTAAAGAAAATTAAATAATGCACAAATGATTTGTGTGAACCAACAATATGATTTTCCTTAAATATGATATTTCTGTGGAAAATTGTTATAGAAAAATTATAATTATCATCAATGGACATGAAATGTAACCTAAACCGTGTAATCATTCTGTAGGCCTATTGGTTTTGAAAACCAAATGCTTGCTTGATAGACTGCCATGGTCTGAAAATCCTTTGAGTATTTTATTTTATTTGTATTTTTAGTGAGTATTGGGTAGCCTAGTAGTAAAGAGACAGTTCACAAGTGTCGCAAGACTCTCAAAATAGGTACATGCCTATGACAGGACTATGACATTATATAATCTAATACTATAATATATTTAATATATAATACAATTTCATGTGAGCCTACCTGATTTTAAAAATCCCTTTAATGTGCTTTTAATTTCATTCTGCGTAAAACGTTCTGAATCATGGGGTAAATACTGCGTGACAGGACTAATAGAGAAACGGAACTGTGGATGAAATTTACCCGATCGAATCCAACTGTAACACACAGGCGACTGACAAGAGCAGGAAGTACATCTTTTCCATTGATCTCAGCTCTGTTTTCCCCATGAGATAACAAATCAAGCTCTTTGTTTCTGTTGTCATGCTGTAACAGGTAAGCACCAATTGGTTGAACGCTCTTTGTGATAGTTGTCGCTTTTGAAACACTGCGTGATACAGTCAGATGAATGCTGTAGCTAACCAGCTAGCTTGTAAGTAATAGGCTAATTTGGCTGACCACCGTCACTGTTTTCATGGAAAGTGAAATTATTTTGGTTCTTTTTTTTGTTTGTTTGCCTCAGTTATCAAATTCACGTTTCTAGCTATATAGGTCATGTTCATAATTATGTATCTTTTTGTCTTGTTCACTAGTCAACTAACAACTAACTGCTTTCCATCAGCAGTTTATATGAAAGTAGAAAAGAAGGCAGTTTAGTTACAGTTTATTCGATTTTCTCATATTCTTTAACTAAACAATTCAATTACATAATTTTAACAAATATATTAAATTTAACTGGTGTCCATAAAGTCTCAAATAAAGTATTGCCATGAACATTGTAGCTTTTACAGTTTGTACATATAATCTAAAATTAGTTACATTTACATTTAGACATTTAGCAGACGCTTTTATCCAAAGCAACTTACAAATGAGGACAATAAAAGCAGTCAAAACTAACAAAATAGTAACAATATATAAGTGCAAATGACTAGTCTCAGTTAGCCTAACGCAGTACACGTAGCAAGGTGTATATATACACACAAAGAAAAACAAGTAGATAGCATAGAAAAAATAGAAAGCTAGTGTTTAAAAAAAAAAGATAAATATAGATAAAGTAGAATTAAAATAGAAAAGAAAGTGCTAGAGTTAGAGGGTCAAATAAAGTTAAGTGATTTAGTAGTTAAAGTGATTTAGTAGGTAAGTTATATCTTCATTATCTAAAGTTGTCTGTTTATGTTTATTCTTGAAAGTTTTCACTGTGTCCTTTGACAACAATCCCAATAAAGTTTATTCTGTGTACAGTTCAAAGGCATGCACGCCAAACTCAATGAAAAAAGAGGGAACCGTAGACACAGACCACACTAATGCTGATGATCAGGTATTTTCATCAAATACCTGGGGTCTAAATGTGAATTATTTTTAAATCAGACATGATGTGTTAATTGTCTGCTTTTTATTCCCAAATTTATATCATCATCTCATAAGCCCAAGAATGGCATCTGGAATGCAAGAGAAACAGTACACGCCATCTTTGCTCAGTTTTTTCATCTATAACCCAAAGTTTGGACCACGTGAGGGCGAGGTAAATCCTGTTTATTTAAACAATAATTGTTTTGTTACTGTATGTTAATCATATGTTTATAGAGCTGTTATTTTACTTTGTAGGAGGAAAAGAAAATCTTGTTTTACCATCCCATTGAAATAGAGAAGAACGAAAAGATTCGCAATGTTGGACTCTGTGAGGCCATCGTTCAGTTCACCAGGTTAGCATTTTACTAATGATGGGATAAAAAGTGGTAAATAACAAACATAGAGAGACTGCCTGTCTCTGCCTGTCTCAAATGAGAGATTTTCCTATTTACAGAACCTTCTGTCCAACAAAACCAGCCAAATCCCTCCACACTCAAAAGAACCGTCAGTTTTTCCATGAGCCGGAGGAGAGCTACTGGATGGTGATGGTACGTCTATGCATCAGTGATGTTTTGTAGAGATTTAGTTTCAATCCAAATGTTAAACAAAAGAAGACAGAATAAAATCAAACTAGCCTGACACAGTGATGCTGAAGTATGTATTAAGCACCTTTGACTTCCTCTCCTCTCTCAAGGTTGTACGGAATCCAATGGTTGAAAAACCCAACAAAGATGGTAAACCA